GCGCGAAAGTGATGCCGATCGGTGAAAAGTGTTCGCGGCGGCAATCGAGGTCGAGAGGTGTTGCTAATCGATGTGGTACTCTTCGATTAGCATATGTAGGAGGGAGACGGGATCGGTACGAGACGAGAGAAGAGAAAGGCAAGAAGAGCGTGTAGGTGGTAGACGCGAAGGTGGTAGAGATATATCATGGGTTCTTAACGTGTATATGTAGATTCGTCGTATGCGCTAAATACAAACTATATTTTTAACTCTTTAAAAGTAATATTTTGAGCTGTAAATATATTATATTCGTACGATACATCGATAAACGATGATATTCTCCTGTTCAGATTTTATAAAAATCGGCATAGTCCTACGTAGGTATGTCTCACGGATGAGCGGAGCAGTGCTACGGAGCTTAAAGCCCGCTTTCTAATTATCTTTTGCATTTTTAGCAAGCATTTAAAAAAACTATCTATGTATAACGTGCATTTTTTTTTAATGGCCAAAAAACTCAGCTAGGTTAATTAAGTCAAGGGAATTGTTCCGTTCACATTCCGTTATGTTTTCCGTTATATTGCAAAGTGATTTCCGACAAATCGATCTCCAAACGGTCCAAGTAGCCTAAATTCGTGAGAGATTATGGAGCACTGCTCTGTTCTTCAAACTTTAATATATTCACATTAACAAATGTACAAGCAAGAAGAAACCCTAAAAAAGTTGTTCATCGTAACATATTCAGGTTTAAAACTCAGCGTAGAGAACGAGAAAAAAATGTTGATGTTTTATCTGTAAGGCGAAAAAGGAAATGCCATAATAATTAATGAGCAAGTACAAATTATCGTGAAAAAAATATAAATTATGTCTACGTCTAACTTTTAGGATGCGTAGTATCGGAAAAGGAATATTTAACGCGGAGGCGCGTAATAAGGAAAACAGAAAACGGCTGGAAAGGACACAGCCTGCCTCGAATATTCATTCGTGGCCGAGTGAAAAAAGATTGAACGGGAAAAGAGAAAGAAGAAAATGCGCGGGAGAGAAAAGGGAAAGGGTAAGCACGAGTTTCCAAACATATCTTCGAAGTGTGAAGTATACTGTGAAAAATATACGATTTTAGATATTTAGCTATCTCTATACCCCGAGAGAGATTTTATAATTATTATGTATACATTCTTAAATCGGTGGACCGATAAATCTCTATCGGTGACGTTTGGCCAGGACATAATGTGGAGGGCATTAGATCGATTGAATGAAGTGCGGCCGAGATCCGCGAGATTTTACGTTCTTGTCTTTCTTCTCTTTTGCTTAAAAGAAGAAAAAAGTCACTTTTTTTTAGCTAAAGATACGCGATTGGTTAGTGAAGAAAAAAAAAAAAGAAAATTTATCCTAGTCATTCCGGAAATTTTTGTGATTCTGTGATATCGGGGATCGTGGCAAACGATTCGACGAAAAGAGAGAGATTAGAAAAGTGTGTGTCTGTCCACATTATGATCACCGGACGTACTTTTAAAAACTCTTCTAGCACGTGAGCGCGTGCGACGAAGGAAAGAAAATTAATAATTGATTATTAACTGATGGGAAATTTCTGTGATGTTCTTCGGTTGGTATACTAGCGCGACTGAGCTATGTGAATGGAAAAAAAAAAGTATACGGAATTTATGTCGATGTTCGGTGTTGTACGCTGTATTGTAAGAGGCGAGACTGTATCGGGAAAAATTTCATCATATTGCTTTGAAATTTTCGAGATGGGGTGGGGATAAGAACGGAGTGTCGGGCAACCGCTGATCAATTTATCGATCCGAAAGAGAAATGCGTTGTACTTTCACGACGAATAATTTTATATTTAAAAATCTGATTATACATATTAATTGATCGGTGAAAAGAGTGATTCGGTCGGTAATTTCGATCGTTCTTTTTTCATGTTTGGTCTGAAATTTCATAGATACGTGTATAATGGATCGTGAAATATATTTTTCTCTTCACTTTATACGATACGATAAGTACATTTAACACGACGCACAAACGATCAACTGTTGCCACTCATCGCCTGATAGACTTAGTCTAGTGTAAACGTTTAGTAAAGTCCGCACACGCGTGTTGGGTGGATAAGTATGCGCGCACGAGTGTGTATGTGGGTGTCCATGTGCTCGTTCACGTGCACGTCCGCATGCACACGAAGTACGTAACTGCTGCAGGGTAAACGACCCATTACACGCCGACGCGAACGCGAAAAAAATAACGAGAGAAAAAAAAACAAAGAATGACTGTAGATTATTTATCGGAATGTGCCAAGGTCCCGAACCGTTTACACGGACGAAATTTTTAGGTAGGTACGCGCCCCGTCTCTCCCGTTGAGGAGGAATATTATCAATATTAATCGTTTTAGGATACTATCTGCGGTACGATTTTAAAAAATGGAAAATTATCGTGGAAACTTTTTGGAATTTTTAATGTATGGAACTTTTCGTCTTGTATCGTTTATCTTAAGAGGGGGAGGAGGGGGAAGAAAGAAATCTTGAGAAAGAAGGTGTGTGACGCGGCGAAAATATTTTCGATTTTATCTAAACGTTATTTTTCGCTCGCATCCTGTGTATAACTCGTGCGTGTACGCCGGCATACTCGTGCTTGAGAGATGTAAAGAACCGCGCGCGCATTTCCGAACGCGAGCGAGGACCGATCGACTATATAATTTTACACACTGACCGTGTAACTCAGCAGGATTTATTATCGCGGCGTTAGGATGCGATGCGTGTGTTGCTTCGTGAATCGCGGATCATACGGAGAGACCGCAGTATCTCTCTGCGGTCCACGCGATTGCTGTTCACTTAGTTACGCGTTTTCGCGCGACTCGCCTCTCGACCGGCGACAAAAATGGTGCAATCTCATCGTCAACAGGCTAAACGCCCCATATCGTAACCATTCAAAGCAGGACCGTTCTTCCGGTGCGTTCACATCCTGGTGTTCGCCATACCCGCACACATTATTAACCGCTTCCTTCTGACTCGTTAAAAAGC